ACGCGGGACTTTTCGAGACTTTAAACTCATCGAACTAATGCGTGATGGACTAGTGGTGAACTGCGGCTCCCAACTGGCATTTGCCTGTCTGCGGCAGCAACAACGGGGCGGAGTGACGATCGACGATGGCACTAAAAACAACCAGGGGCCGCTCAATCTTTCCCCATGCTGATACGACGGCGAATCGTCAATGAACACCAGTATTCGATGTCCCTCATCTCGATCATCGGTCATCTTAACATGCCACGAGCCTACAGCAAATGCAAGACATTTTATATTATCCATGCGGATTTAGACTGTTGAGTGAAATTTGTAGGGTGAGTATCGGGAAACCACCAACAATCCTATTTAGCGCTTGAGATAGGTCCGGAGCCTGACATTTTTACAAGGAAACAGACCGTATCCAAGTGCTTACTGCGTTCGAGACACGCAAGCTAATGAACCGATGACTAGACCATAGTGCATCGATCATATTTCCCCACGCCCCAACGGGCAAAGGTCGGCCAGCGCTAGGAATCCTAGCTTTTCTCGTGCAGTTTCTCGTTCCACCCTCGTCATGACATTATGAAAAATCTACGGAGCTTTTTGGTTTCAAACAAATGCGATAATTTTCCAAATCCGAAGGAACCTATTGACCCTCTCATATCTATCGCTCTCCTCAAATTACTGGCAGATCATTTTCTTCCATTTATAGCGTAGAAGGATGAGTGGACGATTGAATCTCAGCATCGCGCTCAGGCGTAACAACTTACGTATACCATGATAGCCTGGATGAGTGACGGAGCTGGTCAGGATATAGACCCGGGTTACAGATATGCGTAGGAGCATCTGATCGCTGCCGAAGAATTTCACGGACCCAGCAGCCATAAACTAGCAGTCATGAAAGTACCCGTTGTCAGGCACTAATAGACCTTTTGACGTAGAAGATGTAGAAACTGTTGAAGCTTTGTCGTGGAGTGATAGATATGAGAGTGAGGTTTATGGGTCACGATATATGAGATAACTGAGGTGCGGATGTATGAGTTCCTTACTATTGTTGTTGTACTAGTTAGGGTTGTATTGTCTATATACATAAAAGGATTTCTCCATCTACAAGTGGGCTAGATCGCTTAGATCTGGCTAGCGGCTTTCGCCATCCTCTTCCTTCTCCCCCGCATGGCATCACGTGCTTTACAACTACTGCTCACCATGGAGTCCGAGGATGAAAAGCGTTAGATTACAACAGAAACAGCAACAAATGCGCTAAGATGGAGAATCTCAACGCAGTGCCGGTCGTTTATACATGTAGTTGCAATTTACTAACCTGAAAGAATATAATTGATTCATGAGCGGAAAAAACTAGTAAGTTGCAGACGCTTTTATTTCTCAACCCAGATTAAATCTAGCTTAAGAGTTCTGATAAGCTCTAAGATATTGATGAGTGTGGAGGTACGATGCTGACTCGGATCTTTTAGTGGTACAGTGTCTAGCAGATACTAGCAAAAATGAATCATATCATTAACACCTGTCTTACTCTAGATTAATGAGTGATGATTCGACTTGGATAAAGGGCAGCAGGGCTTCTTCAACTCACATACGCTCAGCAATAACTGCAACATTTAACATTACGACTCACAATTATTTTATCGAAGAAATTCAGATACGAGTGGTGATTTTGTTTATCGATAGACATATTCTCCAAGACAATTCGCGCACAAGTTACAGAGCATCAATAAATCTAGCAGCGAAAAAGTGGTTTAATAGTTCACTATGCACGCACTATAGGGCATGGCTAGAGAGCAAAGAAGATATCAAATCATTCGAACAAGATAAATAAAACTCAAGTTAGATTAAGGATAACGCGAATGTATGGGAAGCTATTGCTGAAGCTAGCCTGGATGGTGAATAATTACGAAGGATTCCAGCGGTCCTTCGTCTTCATGCCATAATTTAACCCAGCCCTCCGGTTGTTCAAACTCTCGTTAGATCTACAGCACGCGAAGACTACGACTTCGCCTTTAAGTCTCTTTTTTGTATCGCCTGATCTTCTGCAAACACGGTTATGGCGCACTAGACGCTTTACAAAAACTATTTTCAATCTTTTCGAGCTCTAAGTCATCTCTCCATCTATCTCTCACCTTCTATACTGGGATCTGTCTCCTTAGACATATGAGACGTAGTCCAAGGTTATATCATTACCCTGCACCATCACAACCTGTCTTCGCACGATGGTGTCTTTTTAAAAGATTTATCTTATACTGCCCAGAAGACTTGACTTTATATCCAAAAGTCTTCAGCAAAGAGGCTTGCTAAGAAATGAGCCAATCGATCTTGATCCTCTTTATGCAGTCCAAAATCTAGCGCTTTGGATCTCAAATGTGATTGGAAAGTAGTGAAGACCGCTTCCTCCGGGTAGTTCAGTGAGGATGAAGTCAGACAAAAGGCAATGGTGTGACGTTGTATGGGAAATTCTCAAAACGCTTCTACCTTTACTCATAGGTTACACAGGACAGCGGTATGCTACTCGGGTGGTGTAAATGATCGAATGGAATAGCCTCGCCACCTGGCGAACATGAGCAGCCAACCAATTCTCGCTAACATGTTTTGAGGATCCAGACATCAGCAGATTGCGTGAAGTGATGGGAAACGCGCAATAAATTTTGCATAAGCTGGCGCCAAATACCTTTTTTGTCAACTGCAGCGGTACAACGTCCTGTCGATATAGTTCTTCGCGATTGCTCTAGAAACTGGCAAGGTGAAAGGTGAATTTAGATTTTTTTGACTTTCTATTCTTCATACTTCTTCCCTTAGTGAATATCTAGCAAACTGGGCTCCTTTCTGGCCCAGGCCACACCTTGCACAGTTCTCCCATCCTACTATGTTACGAAAAATTATCTCTGATACATGGTCCATGATAGATAGCCTTTCAGACCAGTAACTACCCCTAGAATCTAGCCCCCCTTCCTACAGAATCTCTGACCTTAAAGAATCAAAACTTTACCTGGGGATATTAAATGAAACGAAGACTACATAGGCCGCAAGAGCGATTGAGAATCCTTGTGAAGTGAGGACGTAGTTTTTACTCAATCCTAGCTCCAGAGACTCTACAACAAGAGTTGGAGGTTTGTAAGTGGCAGCTCCGACAGAATTTGAGTTTTCTTGTCTCTGTGCGAGTGGCAGACTGATATCTCAAACGTGGCTCTCTCACACTCACCACAGTACACCGCAGACAAGTATTTCCATCATTCAAATAATGTATTTCAAATTTCTCGCCGTGCAATTCTGCTATTAAAGCTTCAAGGGCACTGGAGCGTCCAGTTCAAGCCCCTCTAGGGAAGATGTTGCCTAGGTTGGGGGTGTGTGGGTAGGTAGTATACTCGGTATGACAGAGGCGTAGGACACGGTGTTCAGGAATTAATTCAATTGTTGTTGGGTCGTGGTAATTTGGCTGGCTATGAGAAATTATTGGTGTCTGGCGTACGGGCTGGATAGTTAGATGGATACGTGAAGCGCTCAAGCTTTCAATCCCGTCGGCACGAACCGATGCAGCCTTTCTCGAAAGAGGGTGCGCGCGTAGTAATTAGTGGTGATGTACTAGCCTAGAAACGTGTCTCAGGATTCGATAAGGTAAATTAGTCTGCACGGCATACCACTACGCTATCTGGCCTAAGACGCCAATTAATTGAAGAGACCATAAATGTTACACCGAGCAAGACGGTATTGCTGGGCAGTATTCCAGCCCAAGTTGGGAGACTTGCTCAACCTTGAGCCCCGACACCACGTCCGACTTGTCAAGGACAGTGCCAAGCGCTGACGGTGTCTTTGCTCATCCTAGCATCAATTTGCATGGCACATTCTGAGCGACGCGGATAAAGAGAGCCGGCATTCTGCTGATGGGCGAAGCCAGCAACACGACAGGTCAGTCCGGGGCGTGAGCAGGGAGTATGACGGACCACTCACGCCCTCGGACCCAAATCTCATAGGAACAGCTGGCGCCGAGCCAGACCATAAGAATCGCTTGATCTCCAGTGGTCAGCGCAATCACCATCGTAATCACAATTACCATCGTAATCACAATCACCATCCCCACCCAACCTCTTTCCTCGCGGCCGCAGGGGCGTCAATCCCAAAAAGAAACGGAAGAGTCATACGTCAGGCACTAAGACGAGTCTTATCGCTGGTCGACGCGCAAAGAGCGCGATGATGATGATGATGATGATGCCAAACTTCTCCACAGCCATAGTGGCGAAGAATGGTCCAGATAACTAGCTGTAGCTGACGCGCGCCTTCGAGGTCCTATACCCGCCAGCTAAGCAAGTTGCCAGCGGTCGGAGGGTCTAGCAGGCGACTGCAAACTGTATAGTTGTCAGCCAAGCGCTGCTGAGCCCATGAGCGACGGGCAAGATGGAAGTAGAACTGCCATGGCCCTCCCGGGCATGCACTTAAGCTCCGTCACGGCCCCGAGACCAACAGCCTGGGCTGTCCAGGGCGCCAAAGCCTGTGCCCTGTCGGCTCCTGGCCTGGCATGTCGAGAGCTGCGAGAAGCGGAAAGGAAGCAGCAGGCCCTTGGATACGCAAATGTGCCACCGCATTCCACCAAAGCTGATGTCCCGCGACTACTATTTGTGCCCCTTGCAGCGCTTGGCCGGGTATAAGCCTGGTCGCCGCAAGCCATCGCTGCGCGCGCGCGGGGCCACAGGGGAGTCTGCTGGTGTATGCTCGTCAAGCCAAAAGGAACTTTCTCATCATACTTCATTTCCGCATGCACATGGTCAAAAGACCGCATTCTCAAATTCCGTGCCTCTTTCCTATCGTCTGGCCACATTCCCATTTCGCCCCTTGTCTCCTAGCTCCGGCCGACCGAAAGAAAGGGCTGGGCCTGCGTACTAGGGTCACTATGCGGGGGTCTATCCGCACGTGACCCCATAAACTGACCTCCTAAATCGCTTCCCAACTCGTAGTGGCTGTCACAAATTCTCCCAGTTCGTAATCTACGCCCCCTCTCCACTGCGTGACACCACATGAAATGGCCCATCACTGACAGCGGCTCACTAATATATTCTGTCATGTATTTCATGGGAATCAATCTTCCCGATGGCTCTACAGCCCTGCAGGTAGGACCGTTTCCAGATAAACCGCCAGTCGCCCTCGACTAACCCAATCACAGCCTCAATCAGAGAATATAGAGATGAACGGCATGTCGGAGAATAGCATACTGGCGGATTTTGACGAAATACCTCTCGGCCTAGAGCATAGATTTAGTAACAGCTCGGGCCTTGATGCCTTTGCCTCTCACCTGGCAACCACGCAATCTACAGAGGGAGCCTCATCTGCTGCCAGGCCTTCCACAGAGCTTACATTTATCGAGAATAGAATAGCTGGTACAGGGCCGCTGCTTGCCAACCACGACTTCGCCCCAGCCCAAGATCGCGGGAATGGTGTCACCGAGTTCACAAAGAGAAGAAACTGGTCACAGCGTATATTGGAAGAAATTCAAGATTTCCTTCACATTCTAACGCCTGACGGCAGAATTATCTATATCTCGCCTAGCGGCGAACAGCTGACGGGCTACACAAAAGACGAACTGAGGGGGAATTTCATTGTGGACTATGTCCATCCCGATGATAGTGGAATGTTTATCCGTGAGTTCAATGAATCCATCGCAAGCGGACGCTCCTCCCGCTTCTTTTATCGTTTTCGGAAAAAGGACGATGCCTATGCCATATTCGAATCTCATGGTCACCCGCACCTGGCCTCTGATGCTGCAAGTTACGATCATGCCGGTAACTTGGGTACCTGTCGTGGATTCTTCATGATGGCTCGGCCTTACCCAACAAAGAACTCGGCACTCTTAGACTCGTTTCTCGAGCACAAGATTGAGAACCAACGGCTCATGAAGCGCATTAATGACTTACGCAAAGAAGAGGCTGAGGAAGAGAACGATTTACATTTAAACTGGCCAAAAAGATTGGGCCAGTCAAAGATTCATTCCGAAAAATCAGACACCATCTTCTCAGGTAGCACCGTTGAAAATCGTCCAATTAAATACCCCAAGCCCATGAGCCCTAATGGCTTAGCCATGCCACCGCCCGCAAAAGTAATTAATCTCCCCCTAACCCGACAAGCCTTAGAGAAATCTAATGCCGGCTTAAAACCCGATTCAATAAGAGACAAAATGGCCCGTTTTGACGGCATTTCTCACGTCGAAACTATCGAGATGATGACGGGATTACGATATCATGATGGGGAAAGAAGCCTAGGCATAAGCACTGGTGCTCAAAGCCCAGTACTAATTAAGGGGGATGCTGGCATCGTCATACCATTCGATAAAGAGTCTAAGTGTGAAAAGAAAAAATCCAAGCTACCTGATGAATATGTCTGCACAGATTGTGGTAAGTCCCATTTAATCAATGAATGTATCACCTTTATTAACTTGCCAAGGAACCCTTGATTCCCCAGAATGGAGGAAAGGACCGAGTGGTCCTAAAACCCTTTGTAATGCTTGTGGACTCCGTTGGGCTAAGAAGGAAAAAAAGAAACCGACCGTACCTGATAGTTTGCAAGCTGCGTCAGTGGGAGAACCTACCAAAGGTTGAGTAAGATCGCATAATGTGCGCATATTCTTTGAAACACCGTTCATCTCAGTGAGAGTCCGTGTTGGTCGACAAAAGCGAAATATCGGTTATTGTGGACACCCACTAACAAGATAGTTGGAGAACAAGGTGGCGCATAGGGTCACGGGATGGATGAATTTATCGCTCATTTTTGCGTCTCAAATGATAATGAAATACACAACTCGACTGCCTTGCTTTCTAGGGTTATTTCCGACATCTAGCAGAAGATTTTCTGTCTAGTTTAAGCCTACATCCTACCATTTGGAGCGCTGAAATCTTACTCTTATCCACCCTCCCCCCACCCCCGCCGAATCTTTTTACGCAAGAAAAGTCGTCTGAGAGAGAGTATGTTGGAATAGCAACAGAGCTACGAGGCTCGACCATGTAGCTGAGTGCGACCAACCGCGTCATTGTCGCTCTCAGGTGTCACTCGTTAGGATAACAGATATTACTACAAGGGGTCCTAACCGTGCCCCTACCCCACCGAAAGCCCGATACTTACAACCTCGGAGAGAAAGAGGACGAAAGAAGTCGTTTCGATACTGGCTATTTATTTACGAATGAACATCAGAACTTCTAGTACAAAGGAAGATGCATCAATATCTCTAATATCAAGGATGATGCACAAATGCTTGATCTATGAACCATGATCAAATATGAACACTGTCAATTCAAAGATGATAGAGACCGGGTGTCGCCCTCGCTGAGAAAAGAGCTATCCATGTTCCTATTATCTCGTCAAATCTAAATATAGTTTAGTTAATCTAACCACAGAATTTTCATAAGAGTATCTCATGCCTCGAAGCTTCTCCTCCATTACTTTGCAGCTCATGCTTTTGATACTATCGATAATCAAATTATTCACATGTATTTCTTGACATGTATTTCTTGATTGGAACCATCGGACATCATTCCCTGACAATCTCTAGAATTTCCGAAATTTAGTTTTTATCGTGACCAAAATCTAATATTCAGTATATGTATCGCTTGATTAGGAATTGGCGCAAACCTTTGATAGCTTAGCTAGCCAAAAGCCTTCAACGGGCTTTGCATATCTATTACTAGATGAACCGCGACATAACTGAATGAGAATCGAAGTTGTATCTGTATCTTAACTGGCTATCCCTGATAATGTAGCTGAGCTGAGTTTCTAGTCTAGCCTCTGCTTCATATCGAGTGTCGGACAGATGGCCTGATGAATGCAATCTCGCCCTGTAAATTGCATTCTGGTCATAGCTCCTAGTCATATTCGGTTTTAGGAGAGTCTTCGATAGATTAGGAGCGAAGATTATTTTTCCTGACATCGTACGAGCATATCGAGGTGCAACCGCCGGCACTTGACCATGATGACACGTATAAGAACTTGAAACTCGTCTCCCGATGAAGAAAATAGAATTTCAATGAACGCAAGGTAGAGAGGAGAGATACTCAGGGTTGGAAATAGAGTGTCGATACTCGATATTCTGAATTAAGGTTCCTGTTGATAACTCCGATCGTGACTCTGCATTCCTCTCACAAGGATTCTCAGGATAGGCATATAAAGAGCCCTCTCCAAAGAGTAAGAATCTAGGGGTATGCTTCTCGAGTTGAGAACATATGATAAGCTATTGACTGAGATGCAAATCTTAATCGTGTGCACGCCCCTAAATTTACAGTCATTCAGAATAAATACACTGCACAAGTTTGTGAAAGTGGAGCTTGTCATTTTAATAGGACAGATCGTACAATTACAATTGTTTCTCCGGTAGGTGGATGGTATAGCTCATGTAGCCGAAAGGCTGGCTAGTACAAAATCTTCAAGGTTGTTGCATAGATCTCCACCATTGAGAGAGATAATGAACACCATGTCGATATTTTAAAGAGCACAAACATTCCAAAAGTTGGCAAGGTCGAATGGTTATCGTAAATGGTCGCTTTGTTCCTCGGCGCTGATATTGCGAGCTGATCTTAAACTTGGAGTCTGAATGGCTCAGGCGTTACTCCTGCTCTAGGTCGATATTCGTTGGGCCGATCTCAACTAGACTTGAATCACTTATTTAGTCATAGACTGTTTTCGACCATCGAGCTGCATCAATACATACAGAAATAGAGGTCACCAATACCCAGTAAAAAGCTTTTCGTGTAATTCGATGGTGCCGAATCTTCATACTCCAATGATTAGTCTTTTAAGCGGGTTCGTTAATAGTCTCAATATATATAATCTTGTCGTTGGGCCGTTGTATTTATCCCTGTACCATCGATCTCTCTACGAGGTTCTAGTTGAATTGGGAGATATCTGAAGAGCGAATTTTTCCAGCATTGTAAACGAGAAACATTTAAAAAAATCACCTCAAGAAACTGTTCGACACAGAAGCTACACACTGATTTCCAGAGGCATAAGCTGATGGCTAAAGCGATTGGAATTCAAAATTTCTTCACATACCTCGATAGCTCTAGACTATGTGCTGAAAGCTTCCTGTGAGGTGGAATTGGCACCGCAAGAACGTGTGATGAGCGTCTGAAGCCAACTGAGCCACCCGCGTGGTCCTCGACAAACAGATCGGTGGACGGTGCTCAGCAGCTGTCAGACGTGTCCCCTACGTTCCTTCAGCGCCAAGGTTGGATTGCGCATTGGCCAAGATGACATGTCTTGTCATGAATAAGAAGCGCACTTCCGCACCCCGAGCGGCACGAAGAATGTGGGATTGGCCAGACTACAAAAAATACTCTATGACAAAAGATCCCTAATGCAACCTCCAATTTATCCTGCGACAAGGAGTAGGGGGAGGACCAGGTATCTCGAGAGTATCTCATCTCGGCAGATTCGGGCCTGCAGCGTCTAACTGGTAGGAGGACCAAGGCTGAAGACCTTTGCAAGGTCTTCACTGCGAACCTGGGTATGAAATATCCCCTCTAAGCCTAGATTTAGTCACCATGAACGGTATAGGCGATAGACTTTGTTGAGATGATGAGGAGGAATGGCGTTGGCTCGTCCCTGAGCGAAATACGACCCGCAGAGATGTTGTGACTGCACTAATCACCGGCTTCAATCAATTTCATACTAGCATCGACACGCAGATTGGCTCGAACCCTTTGTGATGTTCCTATCAAGATAATTGTCGACCTTGGAGGGTAAAGAGTGAACACCTATTCGCGGTGTCCTCAGACACCTAGGAGTCAAATGTTCCATCAGAGCCAACTTCAGCCAAATTTCGCTTTACCAGGGAGATTTGCCACCGTGGCAATCATTCAAGACTCCCGACCGCGTTACTCATTCATCCCCCACGAGACCGATTCCCACCAAAGCTTCATCAAGCATGCAAGTAAACCTTCGTTTTAATGGCCATAACTGTCGTTAAATCGGTCTCTGGCCTCAATGGCCTCCACATACACGCCCACAAGAATATGAATACCCGCTAGAGAAGATAAATTGTGGTACACAAATCTGGCAGGCAGGTTCTTAAGATGGGCGTGGAAATGTTCTGGACAAGAGGACAAGAAGATACATACAGCGAGTACAATCGTGAAAAGGATGAGATTTTGAATTTTGATAAGGAGTTTTACAAATTGAGTTGTGTGCGCACAAAGGGCTCGATTATGAGAGTGCGGGAAACACTACAAACACCGTCATGGTCAGATGAAGCGCTGGTACATTATCTGAGCCGGTCTCAAATAGATTCTGGATAACTCGTACATCAGCCGATTCAAGACTGGCTGCTTCAAATACAGAAATACATCACTATATATCTCGCGGTGCAGGTATAAATAGATGACGAATGTGTGCATGGATAATCAAGGGTTTTGAAACGTCCCTTTGGTGGGCAATCATGGAGCAGGGTTGACTGTTTGTGAAGTTAACATACCTCACAGTGCTATTTGTGGATCAAGTACAGAATAAAAGTGCTCTAACGTCTAAATAGCCATCAAACAAGTTTACTCAGCACTGAACATGTTTGTTTTTATTTTTATGTCCTAGATTATACCCGCAACCCCCTAAGCGTCAAAGACCGGTGTTCACAACTAGGGTCATATCTTTAACACGCCCAACTTGTTCCCACCAAGGGAACCACTACACAATCAGAAGCTAGTTGAAACCGAGAACCACAACAAATCGAAAAAAGAAAAACAAAAATTTCTCTCAAGTAGGACCCAAGCAATGTATTCCTTGCTTATTTAATCGTCCGTCACACCTCCTAAATGACAAGATCTCTCAATCTATACTGAGAGTTGGAAATGAGTTGCAGGTTTCCTCCATAATTGTCGGTCCTTCTTCAAAATTTGTTGAATCAATACTGACTTCTTTGAGGTGCTGCCCACACCTCACGCCTGTACCATGAGGTTCAAGGCCTCAAAGACTGATCCACCCGACATGATCGTTCCTACCGAGACAGGCTGACTTCCTGCCTCGGCCTTCCTTCCTTCAGCCTCCGCTCGGGCCACTGCAGCGAACTCTCGTTGGCTGGCCTGTCGAATGGATACCAATTCCTCCTTGGTTATCGGGTCGGCTCGGATCGGTCGAGCCAAGCAGTCTCGACTATCCGAACAGTGAGAGCCACCACAGTTGCGATACTTGGAGGTAGCTTTGCACTCCGCGACAGAGTGCATTTTTGATCCGCTATTCCGGCAGGCCAGAGCGCGGGAGCAACCACGAGTGGTGTGGAAGCCCAGGCAGCGATAACACAACTGAATTTCGCGACGAGGCTGGTGCTCCATAGCCATTCCAGACACGTCGAAGATGCGGAAGCCCGCACGAGGGGCGGAATTCCGGGCAAAAATGGCATGCCGGCTTCTGTACGCGGCACCTGGGTTGGCTTCATGCGAGTTTTAGGGTGGATCTCGGCTGGGACCCACTCAGAATTGAGCGTACTAGTACCGTCGAATATTTTGATGGTCATGGACATATTCACGATCTATAAAGTGATGAGATCAGAAGCTACTTCAAGCTTGGCGTTGAAATTCGCTAGTCTCGGAGCCGCATCTAGGAGCCATCGCCTTACTTCTTC